GTCCGCCCTCATGGACGCACCGCCCGGGCAGCTGCAGCCGCCTGAGGCTCTCTACAGAGCGCTCGGGCGGCTGCAGCATGGGGGGGGGGCGGCGGGGCTGGTCATGGCACCCCCCACCCTGCTGGCACCCGGGGCGGACCGCCCCCCCCTTAGTACGCCTCTGCAAGCTGAGCTGTCCTTATGGTTTTAAAGTGAGCCTGTAATGAAAAGAATTAACTTACATGAACTCGCTCCCATATACACCATGTGTCCCAAAGATATATAGTGTATTTAATGTAAAATATATCCTCTGTTACAGCAGTACTTCGTGGGTGTTACTCTAAGTGTAACTCCTGCCTCTGGTCCGTCCTCCGCTACACCTCTGCTCCTCCTCCAGTATTCTTTGATTTGCCCTTTATGGGACTTGTCCCCAAGCAGGGCAAATCTTCTCAGGGACGTCAGCACTCTGGCATCTAGACATGTGCAATTCGTTTCGGTACGAATTAAAATTTGGCCGAATTTCGGGTAATTCGGACATTCGGGTGCTTCCAAATGTCCGAATAGCTGAATTGCCAAAATTACCGAATTTCCGAAGTGTAGTAGTGCCAAATTGCTGAAGTGCCGAAGTTCCGAAGCACAGTATTGTCTAAGTACTAATATACTTACCCAGTGAAAGAAGAAGAATGTTACACTGTATACAATTTTAAATAAAAAGTATACAAACATAGCCAGGATTCAGCTGTAAGCGTTTGCAACACTTACAACAATCAAGTAACACACATTCTTATAAAATGTAAGTTACTTAGCCAGTCATGTAATGACAGGAATGAATAAGTAGATAACTCCCTAATTCCCACGATATTTGAGGGAGCTATCTACTGAAAGGCTGATAGACCTGAATTGGTCTTTCAGCCAAATTTACTAATACTAAGTAAAGATTACTTAGTATTAGTAAATTATGCCCCTACTGACTATACCGCGAGTAGAGGCATGTCTATTAAACAGTGAGCAGCCTGTGCCTCAGGAGTGGGGGCCATGGGGGAGGACATTAGGTCCCCCCCTTATTCTAGTTTAGGGCCCCCACCCACCACTCAGGGGTGGGGGCCAGGGGGAGGACAATAGGTCCCCCCAATTTGTATTTAGGGCCCCCACCTGCTGCTCAGGGTGGAGGATAATAGGTCCCCCCAATTTGTATTTAGGTCCCCCACCCACCGCTCAGGGGGGAGGTCATTAGGTCTCCCCCAATTTGCATTTAAGGACCCCATCCACCGCTCAGGTCCTCCCCCTTTTTTTTACTTTAGGGCCCCCACCCGCCGCTCGAACAGGCTGCTCACTGTTTAATAGACATGCGGTGTAGCGAGTAGGGGCAAAATTTACTAATACTAAGTAATTTTTACCGAGCCGAATATTTTCCCCATGCACATGCCTACTGGCAACACGTCATAACGGAGTGATGTCATGTCACTACATTCCTTCACGCTCTAGCTGGCACTTGAAGCCTTTTTTCTGCTCTCCTTTGTCAGTCAATGCCTCGACACGCCCTGTAACTATATATGGAGAATCACTAGACTATTGCACAAAAAGATACAGCAACATATATATAGAACACAGTGGCCCAGTCCCTTTCCATTATGTTTACCAAGAAAATCTAATTGATTACAAATTATGGAAAGCTGAAGAGTTTTTAAAGACTGTGGCGTGTTGCAGCATCTTTGAATTAAAGAGGCAGAGCCCTAGTTGACTAAACAATGAGCTGTGTCCTTTTTTTGTACATAATCAGTATTTTTAAAATTTTGTAAATACATAAAAAAAAATCAAAAACAGCGCCTCCAACACATTCTTTTGGTATTACCACAAGAATGCGTTCAAAGGATTTCAGAATTGTAATCGCATGTGTGTGGCTGTATAAATTAGCTCTAAATTAACTTAAAAAAAGGAACATGATTTTAGTCCCTGGCCTTATCTTATAGCTAGGATAGCCTTGTGCCTATCCCACACATGCTTAAACTCCTTTACTGTGTTAACCTCTACCACTTCAGCTGGAAGGCTATTCCATGCATCCACTACCTTCTCAGTAAAGTAATACTTTCTGATATTATTTTTAAACCTTTGTCCCTCTAATTTAAGACTATGTCCTCTTGTTGTGGTAGTTTTTCTTCTTTTAAATATAGTCTCCTCCTTTACTGTGTTGATTTCCTTTAAATCTAAATAGCAAAAAGTTATTACCAAACATTTCCACAGCAATTCTGTTCCGTATTTAAGGGTTATCTCAAGCAAGAAGGCAATTTCAGTGATGTGAAGTGGTCATGGTGCCTTGAGTCTGTATGTGCAGCGTTTCACTTTGAAGCGCTGCACACACATACTTTAACCCATTGGGTTCCAGATTGTAACTCCACCTCTGGCAGCATCATAGGGACAACATTACCAGCCAGGAACAAAAGAAAAAAACATTTGAGCTTTGTATACGTAACACTATAGTGTTCCTCTGATGTTGCTCTGTTATGAATTCTGTTGGCATGATATACTTGGTATATAAGACAATATCTGTTTTATATACAGATACTTTTTGTATGATGAGCTGTTTGCTATTTCTGCATTTCTTTTCCTACTAAACAACAGATTTTCAAAAATGAAAGAAAAAAATTCACACACTGACTGTTTTCATTAACAAGCAGTCTCCAGGGCCGTCTATAATATGAATAGGACCCCGGGCAAAGCCTTTTCTTGGGCCCCCTGGGCCCTGTCACTGCACCCTCCCTCCCCATTACGTCCAACCCGCAATCACACTGACAGACATACTGACACATACACACACAGACAGACACATTAAAACATTTGCAGATACATGCTGACACACACATACACTGACACAAAAATATATACTGGCAAACACTGACACACATTCAGACATACTGATACACACAGAGACACATACATACACACAGACACATACACTGACAGACGTATTGACATACACAGACATACTGACATACACACACACACTGGAACACAGTGAGACATACTGACATACACACACAGACATACTGACATACAAACACACAGACATACACACAGTATGTCTCTGTGTGTTAGTATGTCTGTGTGGTGTGTTAGTATGTCTGTGTGTGTATGTCAGCATGTCTGTGTGTGTGTGTATGTCAGTATGTCTGTGTGTGTTAGTATGTCTGTGTGTGTATGTCAGTATGTTTGTGTGTATATATGTCTGTGTGTGTGTGTGTATGTCAGTATGTGTGTGTGTATGTCTGTGTGTGTGTAAGTATGTCTGTCGTGTGTGTGTATGACAGTGTGTCTGTGTGTGTATGTCAGTATGTCTGTCATAGACACACACAGACATACTGACATACATACACAAACAGACATACTGACACTGACATACTAACACACACACATACTAACACACAAACACATACTAACACACACACACACACACAGACACACACACAGACACAGACATACTAACACACACATACTAAAACACACACACAGACATACTAACACACACACACAGACATACTAACACACACACACAGACATACTAACACACACACATACAGGCATACTAACACACACAGACATACTAACACACACATACAGACATACTAACACACACACACACACACAGACATACTAACACGCACACACACACAGACATACTAACACACACATACAGACATACTAACACACACACACAGGCATACTAACACACACAAATACTGACATACATTTAGCCACCGTCCAGTTTCTTACCTTTTTATGGAGGGTGGTTTCCCTGGGGTCCAGTGGCAGGCTGAGGCAGATGGGAGTTCTTCTCTGGAACTGCCCTCCTCCCTGCCTTCCTCCTCCCGCGCGGCTATCTCCGGTGGGAGGAAGTGACACGCGGTACTCACTTCCTCCCAGCCGGTACAGGAAGGGGCCCGGTCGCGCTGTTTAAGTGTCACAGCGCCCGACCGGGCCCCTTCTGCCACATGCCCACAGGGTGGCCCTTAGTGCATGGGCCACCCGGGGGCCTCCTTAGTTGGCGGGCCGGTGCGGCTGCACCGCCGGCCGCCGGGTACATGGGGGCTGCTGAAATCGCGGGGCCCACGGGGCAGCTGCTCTGGGGCCCCCCAGGAGCAACTGGGCCCGGGGCAGCTGCCCCGTTTGCCCCGCGCTAAAGACGGCCCTGGCAGTCTCTGTTACCTAACAGACACACATCCAAGTTCACAGACAGCAAATGCTTAAAGCGACTGTCACTTTCAGGAGGGGAGATGACCACTTGGAAGGCAGCGGTCAGGGGCAGGAGCTTGAAGGGTTAAATTTCTAATTGAGGTTCTCACTCCTGACTGCTGCCATCTTCATCCTGATATCCATCTTTGGCTCCTGCCAGTTTATCCACCAAGTACTGCGTCAATGTGAGACTCTGGCGCGTACACAAATGTAGTGTCTGTGTTGGCAAAATGGAAACTCAAACTGTTGCCAGACTTTGTCCAATTGGAAGATTATAGAGAGTGCCAGGTTTCAAACACTGTCCGAACGAAGGTGCATGTATACGAATGAAATATCTTGTCATAGACTACCGGTAGGGATGCATTTCTCTCAAATCTTTTTTACATATATTTAATTGAAAGAAAAATCAATTTCCTTATAATACTTGGTGAAAAGGTTATTATATATATATATATATATATATATATATATATATATATATATATATATATATATATAAAAATGTTTTGATGTGGCAACTGTGCTTTAAAAAACTCTTTACCCCAATGTTGGAAAATAAAAATTGTCAAAAAAAAACCTCTTTACAAGAATGGTGTGAAAGGGGCATGACAGAATCCATCACGGTCAATGGCAGGTCGTACTTCTGATGCTTAGAACAAGAAGATTAGACTACAGCAAACATGGACAGATGGCTAATAGAAAATAACTTTTCTTAATTTACTTGAAGTTCCCAAGTTCCTCACGCTGTAGTGTGGAGGTGTAAGGTTGAGTAAGGTGGAAGTGTTCGGCTCGAATGTGTGGCCGAAAAATCTGTGAGAACAGTGTGATGCTATGGAGGGATCATGGATCAAAAGCATCATCGGAATTCGCACAGTAAATAATTTGGGTACAAAGGTAATCATTTAGGTGGAAATAGTCATAACAGGTCCTGAACAGGTGTATTTAATAGACTGACCATGGAGAATGTGCATATGTAAATTAAATATATTGTATATTTACGCAAAAAGAGCCTCAAAGTGTAGGCCAATATACAACAGCTGGAAAACTCTAAAAAAGTTGTTATAGTGGCTGTATATGTTTAAGTATGTATAATCTGGTGCGGTAACTCAGTTGGTAAATTCTCTGAGTACAAAGCCTGTTCAAAAAGCTAAGGTCACAGGTTCAAATCCCAGCAGGGTGAACAAAGTCCTTCATCCTTCCTAGGCCAATAAAATGAATACCATCAATTGGGTAATAACATTACTATTCAACGGCTGATTGGGTTAATTCTGAGAGTGTACACGTTAAAGTGTTTTGAGTCTCACTGGGAGAAAGGCACTAGTTATTATTATATGTAATGCACAAAATGTTCCATGGGTCATTCAAATTGATTATAGTCTTCGAGGATAGCAGGATCCACAGAAGAAGCACAAGAAGCGGTATAAAAGCATATGTAGGCATTAAAAATAATACAAAAAAAAGCTATAACACAAATAATCTTATTTTCAATAAGTCATAAAATTACAGGGTTTTTTCCAATTGTGCAATTTTAGATAGCACTGATTAAGATGACAAACTACAGAGAATTCAAAGTCATTTTTATGCCAAATTGGACAATCGCCTGTTTTGATCTGAAATTAGAAGGTAATTTTGAATTCCTGACAAGTCTCCCTTTAGTGAATAAACTTTAGATATATAGTTTGGGAAGGTAACAAGCTCTTGGGGGAACATGAAAATAAGTAAATTGGTTTAGTTATTAAAGGGTCACTATAGTCACCAGAACCATTACAGCTTAAAGGACCACTATGGTGCCAGGAAAACATACTCATTTTCCTGGCACTATAGTGCCCTGAGGGTGCCCCCACCCTCAGGGTCCTCCTCCCGCCCGGCTCTGGAAAGGGGAAAGGGTTAAAAACTTACCTTTGCCTCTGCCTCCTCTCCTCCTCCGATCCTCCTCCTGGGCTGAATGCGCACGCGCGGCAAGAGCTGCGCGCGCATTCAGCCCGTCGCATAGGAAAGCATTTACAATGCTTTCCTATGGACGCTTGCGTGCTCTCACTGTGAAAATCACAGTGAGAAGCACGCAAGCGCCTCTAGTGGCTGTCAATGAGACAGCCACTAGAGGAAATAGGGGAAGGCTTAACCCATTCATAAACATAGCAGTTTCTCTGAAACTGCTATGTTTATTTAAAAATGGGTTAACCCTAGCTGGACCTGGCACCCAGACCACTTCATTAAGCTGAAGTGGTCTGGATGCCTAGAGTGGTCCTTTAATGTGATTCAGTGGCTACTAAAAAAAAGACTGGATATACCCTATTTTGAATACCCTATTTTACAAATGGTATGTCACGATGGGGTAATTTTCATTCCTGGGCTGCCATATGGGTCTTAAAGGCAACACAGACCCCGCAAACCAATCTGGAAAATCTCAATGTGTAAAAACCGAAATGGGTAAGCCCCATATTTAAACCTGTAGCTTTCCAAAACACCATAAAATCGGAACATGAGGGGCATCATTGTACTTGTGGGATATCACAGCATACAAAATGTGTGTTTTATTGCAGTAGAGCCAACAGTGTTATGACATTCACAGTTAAAATACCAAGCAAAAGTTGGAACATAATACATTTCTATGTTTCTCACACTTTATAAGATTTTATTCATATTAAATTGTGCTCCATATATAAATATTTGATGTGAAAGGAACGCTCTATTTCCCTTGAACAAAATGATATGTAATAAGTGTGGCTGCACTTAATAAAAAGATAAATTTTAGTTGAACGTATAGCTCAAATTTGAGACCGTTTGTTTTGGTCAGAACTTGTACAATTGCCTCAGTCCTTAAGGTGTTATATTACAGCATTTTGTTTAGAACATTATTCTGTTGTCAATAGAGACAAATTAACATTCATTTGGATTCCTTCACAATGGAATTAGAATTGATTTATTGTGTTTTTTATGTAATTATTTTGTTTTTTTAATAATTACAAAAAACAAATTGTGATTTTACAGAATCGTATTACATTTGCAACTAGGTTAACCTAAGGTCTCTTGGATTATAGAAAATGATCTCTGCAAAGTATGCACTATGGATGTATTCCGTTCTGTCTCCATGGTTACAGAGTATAATAGTTAATACTTGATACTTGTACCGATGCTGCCTTACTCTGCCCCCACTAATGTTTCACCTTGATAGTTTGTTTCAGCATCTCCACGCGAACTCATATGTGTGCACTTTTTTTATATAATCTGTAGTTTTATGAATGTTCATTACACTTACCAAGCATTATATTATTTGTTGGATCATCAAAGGACCAAGGTCTTCAATTTTATTTCGCTTATATGAACGAATAATACATTTGTTTTATTTTTTTCCTATTTATTTAAAGGGACATTCTAAGCACCAAAACCACTGCATTGTCATATAGTGATTTCATAGATGCTGTCCCTTTTCTGAGAAAGGGCAAGGTTTAGCGTTGGCTGAAAACACACCTGTATTGGCTTTCAGGCATACAGCTACAAGAGGTGCCTCATTCTTAAATCCTTCGATTTTTAACCCCTTAAGGCCACATGACATGTGTGGCATGTTATGATTCCATTTTATTCCAGAAGTTCGGTCCTTAAGGGGTTAAAGGACTTCTCGTTTGGGGTTGTCACACAGAGATGATGATGCCGCATGCCGCTAAGACTTCTTCTAACGATGCAGTAGATTGGTGGAGCTCTGTTGCTGCATAAAGGGTATAGGTCTTCAAGGAGCATTTAATTTGGACCTGGCTTGCTGATCTCATAATTTGCTACTAAACTAAAAGATGAATATTCGAAAGGCTAAGCATAAATAGATGTAATTTTAATTTTAGTGTTTCTTTGAGAAGTACACATTCCTTTACATTTCTTTCTAATATATATTATCTAATATTAATGGAGCACTCCAGGCACCAAAACAACGTCATCTAAATGAAGTTGTTATGGTGGCAGGAGGCCCCCCGGGGACACTCTTGCCTCAAAGGGTTAAACTGTTCCCAAATGGCTTAACCCCAAAGTGAGCCTCCAGCGCCGATCTCTTACCTCAAGGGGTTAAACTGTCCTCAAACTGTTTAACCCTTTGAGTTAAGAGTTGAAAAGGGGCCTCCATGCATGATAAGGCACTAGAACACTGAAATTTTGATGAAGTTGTT